GGAAGTGACCAAGAACCCGATGGTCACTCTGACAGAGCTTCAGAGTTCCTCTGTTGAGATGGGAGAACCTTCCAGAAGGACAACCATCTTTGCAGCACTCCATCAATCAGGCCTTTATGGTAGAGTGGCCAGACGCAAGCCACTCCTCAGTAAAAGGCACATGACAGCCCGTTTGGTGTTTGCCAAAGGGTACCTAAAGGACTCTCAGACAATTAGAAACAAGTCTGATGGTCTGATTAAACCAGGATTGAACTCTTTGGCCTGAATGCCAAGCATCACGTCTTGGGGAAACCAGTTGTGGCTTCAGGACAAGTCTCTGAATGTCCTTGAGTGGCCCAGCCAGAGCCCGGATTTGAACCCGATCAAACATCTCTGGAGAGACCTGAAAATAGCTGTGCAGCGACGCTCCCCATCCAACTTGACAGAGCTTGAGAGCATCTGCAGAGAAGAATGGGAGAAACTCCCCAAATACAGGTGTGCCAAGCCTGTAGCGTCATTCCCAATAATAATCTAGGCTGTAATCGCTGCCAAAGGTGCTTCAACAAAGTACTGAGTAAAGTGTCTGAATACTAATTTAAATGTGTTATTTCAGTTTTTTTTGTCAATACATTTGCAAAAATATATAAAAAACGGTTTTTGCTTTGTCATTATGGGATATTGTGTGTAGATTGAGGGGAGAAAAAATAAATTTAATCCATTTTAGAATAATACTGTAACGGAACAAAATGCATTAAAACCAACTTTCCATTGTCTCCTGAGTCACTGCAGTAGTTGCAGTGCTGCCACCTCACAGAGTAATGAACCTCTGATGCAGTATAAGTGCAGCGTTGCAGTTCGGTCACCGCCACCACCAGGGCTTTAGTCAAGGACCTGTCCTGGGAGTCCCTGCTGTAATTGGATTCTAAGTAGTACAATCTTCTTAGAGAGCAGTGGTGCTGCAGTTTTCCATTGAAAGGGAAAATTAGTTCTCCGTCAATTAGTAGCTAGCACCAGATATTATCCTCATCAAAACTAGCCTTTATAATGAATCTGTTACAGATTAAATTACAATACATTTAGTCAATGTAAAAGCCTATTGGACCATCTTTTTAGCTTCATTGTTTGTTTGGTATAAATTCTGCTCTTTATTGTGATTTTGATGTGGTTGTCATAGAGGCTTTCAATCCACTGTAACATACAGTCCAGTAGCAATATCCAATATACCTATGGCTAAATCTCTGAGCTCAGCATGAAAATGTTTATTTATATATTTTATCTTGAAAGTGTAAGCAGATTGTAGGGCTCCTCTCCTATGACCTTCTGTCTGGGGTAATCTTGATGTGAGGCTAATTAGCAGGAGAGAGACACTGGTGCCCTAGTTGGGCCCTGAACCCACACAAACGTCCCACTTTAACCCTTTCTCTCCCGGGCCTGGCCATCGGGCTAACCCCCTCAGATGCTGAAGTAATGAAAGGATTCATCCAGGATAAGGGGATTGGAGCATACCTTCTCTTAAATTATTTTGAATGTAAAGCTAATGGCAATCCCCCTTGGCATTTTTCCTATTTTGTTGCCTTCCAACCTGGAATTAAAATGGATTTTGGGGGGGGTTGTATCATGTGATTTACACAACATGCCTACCACTTTGAAGATGCAAAATATTTTTTCTTGTGAAACAAACAAGAAATTAGACAAAAAAACAGAAAACTTGAGCGTGCATAACTATTCACAAAGTAAATACTTTGTAGAGCCACCTTTTGCAGCAATTACAGCTGCAAGTCTCTTGGGGTATGTTTCTATAAGCTTGGCACATCTAGCCACTGGGATTTTTGCCCATTCTTCAAGGCAGAACTGCTCCAGCTCCTTCAAGTTGGATGGGTTCCGCTGGTGTACAGCAATCTTTAAGTCATACCACAGATTCTCAATTGGATTGAGGTCTGGGCTTTGACTAGGCCATTCCAAGACATTTAAATGTTTCCCCTTAAACCACTCGAGTGTTGCTTTAGCAGTATGCTTAGGGTCATTGTCCTGCTGGAAGGTGAACCTCCGTCCCAGTCTCAAATCTCTGGAAGACTGAAACAGGATTCCCTCAAGAATTTCCCTGTATTTAGCGCCATCCATCATTCCTTCAATTCTGACCAGTTTCCCAGTCCCTGCCGATTAAAAACATCCCCACAGCATGATGCTGCCACCACCATGCTTCACTGTGGGGATGGTGTTCTCGGGGTGAAGAGAGCCAGATATAGCGTTTTCCTTGATGTCCAAAAATATCAATTTTAGTCTCATCTGACCAGAGTACATTCTTCCATATGTTTGGGGAGTCTCCCACATGCCTTTCTTAAAGCAATGGCTTTTTTCTGGCCTCTCTTCCATAAAGCCCAGCTCTGTGGAGTGTACGGCTTAAAGTGGTCCTATGGACAGATACTCCAATCTCCGCCGTGGAGCTTTACAGCTCCTTCAGTGTTATCTTTGGTCTCTTTGTTGCCTCTCTGATTAATGCCCTCCTTGCCTGGTCTGTGAGTTTTGGTGGGTGGCCCTCTCTTAGCAGGTTTGTTGTGGTGCCATATTCTTTCAATTTTTTTATAATGGATTTAATGGTGCTCCGTGGGATGTTCAAAGTTTCTGATATTTTTTTATAACCCAACCCTGATCTGTACTTCTCCACAACTTTGTCCCTGACCTGTTTGGAGAGCTCCTTGGTCTTCATGGTGCCGCTTGCTTGGTGGTGCCCCTTGCTTAGTGGTGTTGCAGACTCTGGGGCCTTTCAGAACAGGTGTATATATACTGAGATCAAGTGACAGATCATGTGACACTTAGATTGCACACAGGTGGACTTTAACTAATTATGTGGCTTCTGAAGGTAATTGGTTGCACCAGGTCTTATTTAGGGGCTTCATAGCAAAGGGGGTGAATATATACAGTGGGGAAAAAAAGTATTTAGTCAGCCACCAATTGTGCAAGTTCTCCCACTTAAAAAGATGAGAGAGGCCTGTAATTTTCATCATAGGTACACGTCAACTATGACAGACAAATTGAGAAGAAAAAAATCCAAAAAATCACATTGTAGGATTTTTTATGAATTTACTTGCAAATTATGGTGGAAAATAAGTATTTGGTCACCTACAAACAAGCAGGATTTCTGGCTCTCACAGACCTGTAACTTCTTCTTTAAGAGGCTCCTCTGTCCTCCACTCGTTACCTGTATTAATGGCACCTGTTTGAACTAGTTATCAGTATAAAAGACACCTGTCCACAACCTCAAACAGTCACACTCCAAACTCCACTATGGCCAAGACCAAAGAGCTGTCAAAGGACACCAGAAACAAAATTGTAGACCTGCACCAGGCTGGGAAGACTGAATCTGCAATAGGTAAGCAGCTTGGTTTGAAGAAATCAACTGTGGGAGCAATTATTAGGAAATGGAAGACATACAAGACCACTGATAATCTCCCTCGATCTGGGGCTCCACGCAAGATCTCACCCCGTGGGGTCAAAATGATCACAAGAACGGTGAGCAAAAAATCCCAGAACCACACAGGGGGACCTAGTGAATGACCTGCAGAGAGCTGGGACCAAAGTAACAAAGCCTACCATCAGTAACACACTACGCCGCCAGGGACTCAAATCCTGCAGTGCCAGACGTGTCCCCCTGCTTAAGCCAGTACATGTCCAGGCCCATCTGAAGTTTGCTAGAGTGCATTTGGATGATCCAGAAGAGGATTGGGAGAATGTCATATGGTCAGATGAAACCAAAATATAACTTTTTGGTAAAAACTCAACTCGTCGTGTTTGGAGGACAAAGAATGCTGAGTTGCATCCAAAGAACACCATACCTACTGTGAAGCATGGGGGTGGAAACATCATGCTTTGGGGCTGTTTTTCTGCAAAGGGACCAGGACGACTGATCCGTGTAAAGGAAAGAATGAATGGGGCCATGTATCGTGAGATTTTGAGTGAAAACCTCCTTCCATCAGCAAGGGCATTGAAGATGAAACGTGGCTGGGTCTTTCAGCATGACAATGATCCCAAACACACCGCCCGGGCAACAAAGGAGTGGCTTCGTAAGAAGCATTTCAAGGTCCTGGAGTGGCCTAGCCAGTCTCCAGATCTCAACCCCATAGAAAATCTTTGGAGGGAGTTGAAAGTCCGTGTTGCCCAGCGACAGCCCCAAAACATCACTGCTCTAGAGGAGATCTGCATGGAGGAAATGGCCAAAATACCAGCAACAGTGTGTGAAAACCTTGTGAAGACTTACAGAAAACGTTTGACCTGTGTCATTGCCAACAAAGGGTATATAACAAAGTATTGAAAAACTTTTGTTATTGACCAAATACTTATTTTCCACCATAATTTGCAAATAAATTCATAAAAAATCCTACAATGTGATTTTCTGGAAAAAAAATTCACATAGTTGATGTGTACCTATGATGAAAATTACAGGCCTCTCTCATCTTTTTAAGTGGGAGAACTTGCACAATTGGTGGCTGACTAAATACTTTTTTTCCCCACTGTATGCACGCACCACTTTTCCGTTATTTATTTTTGACTATTTTGTGTATGTTCATTACTTGAAATCCAAATAAAAATCAATTTAAATTACAGGTTGTAATGCAACAAAATAGGAAAAAGGGGGATGAATACTTTTGCAAGGCACTGTATGTGGCAGTCTGTATGTATGAACAGTCAGTGCTAGGCTAGCGTACAAATGAACATGAAAACAACAAATTAATATAAATGTCTTTATTCACAATTAATAAAACAATTTAATCACCCTGAGAAAAACACAAAACTTTACTTGCTGACACAGTACAGAACAACTTTGTAGTATGAATGCCCAGGTATCCTGCACTGAGGACAGAGCAACATGAGTGCACTGCATTGGACAAGGAGCACACACCTATTCAAGAAGACCCTCAGCTGTAAACACCTCAAATATAATACCTGTCAAACATTGAGTGTATATCAATGTCCTACAGAAAACCCAGCCAGACTGATGGGCCAATTATTGGGCCAATAGTTAATTAGGAGGCTAGTGAGGGGTCCAGGTATTTCAGCACCCCTCCTACTAGGTGTAGACTACCTGTGACCAGGACAGAGACGTGGGCTGCCTCTCTCAGTGGTTCTGCTTTAGCTGTGATACTGGACTGTACTGGGAGGTAGGGGCTCCCTGCAGTAGCCAGCACAACATCCCTTCCCTGGCTGATCCACTGGAGGGCGCTGAGGATGCAGGGGAAGACCAGGGTGTGGGTCCTGGTCTTGGCCACTAGGGGGAGCCTGTCCTTTATCAGCAGCTCAGACTCAGACTGCTGCTGAATGTCTGTCCCACTCAGCCTCTGCCAGCTGATCTGGTTGTCAATGCAACGGGTCAGCATGTTCTCCACAGACACATTGAAATTCTGCTGATCTGAAAAAGAGAAGAGCAAACAAAGAAAGTGAAGGACTGCACACACACCTCTCATACATTTCTCACAGCTGGACAATGAATGTGGTAGCATTCTTTTACATAGCCAAGACAACATATGAAAAACATTGCAACTTATGTAATCATATGTTTCATACTTGTTGTGGCAATTATGCTCCAGTAAATTGCCATTTCTTTGCAGCTGTCTGTTAAAACCCCAGAAAACTCACCTGCATTGTTTTCTGTAATAGTTTCAGTGATGTTGGGACAAAACACAGCAAAATCAAACTGGCATGGCTGCAAGGACAACAAAGGGAGAAGATGTTAGATATTTAGTCTATTTCAGGGTTTGATCAGTTTGTGCTTCTTTAGGTGCTGTACAAAAGTCATATTCCGGCCAGAGCTGCAGAGATGAGCAGGATCTGTGTATCTGATCCCAGACCTGTAGAACTCACCTCTAGGAGTTTGAGAATGGCAGCAGAGTCCCTCTCTCCTGTGGTGTTGAACAGCAGTACTCTGATCACAGGGCCCCTGTCATACACACACACACACACACACACACACACACACACACAGTGAGTAGGCCTACTCAGAGATGCTATCTATCAAAGAATGACATACTCAAATCTGACCGTAAAATGAATGGATGGTCATTTCCACACAAAATGTAGTATCACATCAATTCTGAGCTGGTGTGTGCTGATGTTTGTGTGCATGCAACTATTTCTTACAGTCATATAGGACTACAGTTTTCCACAATCGTTTGACCAACTAAGGCCACTGTAGAAAAGTCTGTGGGCCCCCTAGAGGCCAGGCAGGGACTAACCTGTTGCTACTCTCCTCCTGCTGGGTCTCCTGGCTGAACCAGTGTACACAGGCCTGCATGCTGCCCATGGTGTGGGCTCCGTCCAGGTAGTAGGTGACAGGACCATGCCTCAGAGTCTGAGATCTTCCAGGCCACTCTGTCGCCTCCAGCCCTGACAGAGGGAGGGAGAGACAGAGGGAGGGAGATGAGTGGAGAAGTATGGGAAGGGTGAGATAAATACTTTTTCATTTTGTGCTTTCAGGCACAGGTGTTTATTTATCTGGATGTTTCATGGGTGAGAATATGCTCTGACCTTTGACCATGATGGGGCTGGGCTTAAAGACTGCGGCATGGGAGACCAGCCTGTTCTCCACTACTGGGGTAGCGAGCTGATCATCTGAAAGTAAGCAGTGTCCCACAGTAACTTACTGAACCTCATTACGATTGGAATGTGTACTGTTATCTTGAGCAATATGTTCCCATTCTAGCTAGAATAACATTGTCATACTTTGTGAGTTATAATATAACACACACACACATCACACACACACCAGACTGTCTGTAGTGCTGTACAGTCTCGATAGCATCTACCTCTGTGTCCGCAC